GTTTTGCCAACCCACAAATTTTATCACAACTCATCTTTCATTTTGGATGATTCACCTAATTTTTTCACTTAAATTTCACGTTTCATTAATTCGGAATTGATATCTATGATTTGACATACTAGTAAAAACGTCTTCTTTTTCTGTGGAGTTCTACCTCCATCCCGAAAAAATATTCCATATTAAATTTTCAAATTTGTACTAAAAACAATACAATACTCAAAACTTAGGCTCTGTTTAATAATCACTTAATATAGTGACTTAATTTATTTAAGTACTTAATGAAATTAAGTGTGTTTGATAATTACTACTAAAAGTCTTAATGAATTAAGTTCTGAACTAATTAAGTACTTATAAATTAAGTGCGTTTGATAACTAAAATTTCACTGTCTGAATTAATTAAGTGCGTCTGAAGCCCAGTTCAATTGTGAGCCAGAAAATAAGTGATAGGCCTACCACTTATCACTTATCACTTAATTCTGTAATGACTCTTTTTTTTCTTTTTTTTCCCCCTTTTTTTTCCTTTGTCTTTATTTCGATGCTTATTTTTACATTGTTTTAAAATTTTTATTTTCTTTAGATGAATTAATTAAGAGTGCTTAAAGTTGAATTTATATTATGAGTATAAAAGATCTCAAACTTTTAAACTCAAATTAAACTAATTTTAATACATGAAATTTGCTAAATAACAAGGTATACATATATATATGCAATAATCTAAATTTAATTATATATTGATTATTTACCAAGTGTAATATCTACTTTCATTATATATACCAAAAACTTATTTTAAAATTATGATTCTATTATTTAGAACAAAATATTAATTATTTTTTTATTTAAAAAAATTTTGTTTATAATTCAATTTTAATGATATTAAAATTTTAAATAACTTTCAGACCTGAGTATTCAGATTCAGTCTTCAAACTTTAGACTTCAGTCTTCAGATATCAAATTCAGACGTTTTTATCAAAAAATATAAATTCAGTCTTCAGACTTCAGACTTCAGTGTTAAGTGTTAAGTGTTCAGATTAAGACTTCGTGATTATTAAACGGAGCCTTAATCTAACTATTTTTATGGGACAGAGGGAGTATTGCTTAATCTATGGGTTCTCTCAATGATCGATAAAATATTCTTCCCGTTTTATTCAATTTTAGCAGATGCCAACAATGGAATGTTCTTAAAACTATTAAAAAGAATTAATATGTAACTCGAATTGTTGATGTTTTAATGTTGTAATTACAATGACATTTTAGATATATAACACCATATACATCAGGATTGGAGTGGCTTTTAAAGGAGTATAATATAGTCATGTGCGGGATCTTGTGAAATACTTGTACTATGTTCAATGATTGGTTTCATAATTAAGAAGATTCTTGTGGACGACGTGTTAGTGACTAGTTTGTTATCTTCAAATATTTTAATTTGTTGAGACAGAATTCATGGGATAACTAAACGAGTTGATATTTTAAATTCACACAAATGGGGTGCAAAATTATGATTTCAATGGTATATATGAATTTCCAATTATATTTTTTTCACAGCCGAAAAAGGAAAAAGTGAGTAGTGTATATACATGCTTATTCTACATTTAGAGTGTGAAATAAAAAGGGTGATTAAGATTTTTTTTTTTTTTTGAAAAAAGAACTTATACTACATCATTGTCGTGATAAACAGTGTCTTTTATATATTTTTCTCAAGGGACACAGAAAATTCATCCTACAAAAAAAGTTATGTTTTGTAAAAGAGCAATACGATTTTGTTTTCCCTTGGGCAATATAAGTGATAAAATGATATGTATTTATTTTTTATTTGATTTAAAATGGTGACAGATAAAAATGATGACGATAGTGAATTGTAATGTACAAAGTTGAAGGAGTACATGGGTGTTTGAAAATGTGTTTTTTTTCCATTCTTTTTTTTTTCGTTCTACTTTTTCTGTTCAACCAATTTTGACCGCTGAATCAAGTTTTTCAAACTTTGATTGCTTTTGATTAATTTCCATCCCCCACCTCTTAACTATATTAGCGATTACTCAGGCCATTCATTTTTTTGTAAAATAATATTCCCTCCGGTTCTTAATATAAGACATTTTGATTTCGTCCTATGTTTAATTTAGTGTTAATTTTTAATTGATAAAAAAATCTTAAAAATATTTCATAACAATCAATAGAATATAAAAAATGTGAAAGTATATTTTTAAGGTTTTTTCGTCAATAAAAAATGCGCCAGGTAAAATATAAGACGAAATCAAAATAGCTTGTATTAAGGACAGAAGGAAATAGTATTACTACAATAGAAATGTCTGAAAATCATCATGCTGAGTATTTCGCAAATTCGGAGTACAAAGTCAAATGAAGAATTAATTGGCAAAGAAAATGCTAGCATGATATTTTCTCTAGCAACAATCATAATTAATGGGCAGCCAACAGCAAACAAGGGGTAAAGTCCTCCTCACGTTTGGGCATGAACCACGGTTTTCTGGAGACTACGACAAAATTGAGTAACATGCATGATTAATTTCCCAGTCAAACCTACTGAAGTATTATATTTGGGTCAAATTTGCTCTTAATTATACGATGGCATAAATAAGGACTTGATTTCAGAAAAAAAATAACAGTAATGTATGCGAAGAAAGAACAAAACGAAAATTTGACAACGTCGAGATGGGCTTCGGAAGACAACATATTATCAGATAAAAAAGAACAAAATGAGAACAGATCACTTTGATATTTCATAATTATTGAGATAAATAGTTAAGACAACATATTATGAAGCATAAATTTGTAATCCTTTTTTTACAATGGACACAAAATCAAACCTATAGTAGAACTAAACAATGGGCTTAACAAAAAAAAAAAAATCACTAATTTCTCCCGAAATGTAAGACTCTAGGCCTTCGGCCTCCTCTATTATTAAAAAAAAAACACAATGGGCCTAACAAATCACGACTTGTCTCTGGTTTCAGATCGTCACTAATTTTCATAAAAATTTCAAACATAGATCGAGAAATTAAATAGGTGAGAATCAATAAATAAATCTCCCAAAGCATGAAATAATTCATCATGGAAAACAAATCCCTCTGTCGGTAGAGCGAGCTAACGGTGGGGAAGATCATGACAAAAACAAATAAAAAATAAATAAAAAACCACACACACACAAAATGAATAATAATAGAGCTCAAATGGATAAAAAAAAAAAATAGATATGGTTGCATAACCGACTCCTTTAAATCAAGTGGAACACTCTTCACTTGATTTTATGAACGAAGACATAATATACACATGACCAAGAATAAAGAATCAATCACCAATTAATTAGTTGTTAGAGCATCGTGAAATGTTACCATTATTTCTTACCATTTCTTTATTTTATTTTATTTTATTTTTTACAAAGAAGGAAACACTATGCCTAAAGGCAAAACTTAAAGTAAAATAGTTTAAGAATAAGAAACTTCAACGATGTCACGTTTCAACTAAAATTTCACTTCAACTGATGGCTCATCCAAACGCTGCAAATCATCATTTCTTCTCATTTCTCAGCTTCTTTTCACGTTTAGACAAAGCTTTCATATGAACATTTAGTCCTGACGACATTTCTACTATCACATCATAAACAAGATGAATACTAGATGAAATCTAATAAAACTCTAGATACACGTGAAATGCTTCAACATTATTATTAGTTATAAACATTTATTGAAAAATTTGCATATTTTCAAAAGCAATGTAGTCGTATGCATTTGACTTCAGACAATGGTCACTGGATAGAAATTTTCTTTTTAAAAAAAAAAAAAAAATTTGATAAATGTAGACCATCTCAAATATACTTACCTTTAAGTTGTTCTTCCTTGAAATTGACGAGTAAGAGGAAAGCATTGCAAAAATCAAGATAACTCTCCAAATTCCTTGCTTTTAACAGTTAGAAGAACCACACTAGATTGTCTTAGAGGTCAAGTAATGGCCAACTCACCAATGTTTAGATTGATCCATTTATTTTCTTCTTCACATATGTTGGGTATTGTATCGGATATAAACTGATCAAAACATCAAGAATGTGATAATTTTCATTTTACTAAAAGTGTTATAAACTTGCAAAAAAAAGAGAAGTAAAAATGAAAATGTTAAAACAAAAAGAAAAGGGAAGAATAACACTAACGAACCAGATGTAACTACACATTTCATGATTATTATAATGTTATTTTTATATGGCTACTGTTATTTTTACATGTACTTTTCGGTAATTTCACATATATATATGTATATTGTGGGAAAAAGGAAAAATATTTCTAATCGTACAAATAAATCAGCAAAAACTTATGTTCTTTTTTACTACCAGTAATACATATATTTAACCTCTTCTTTTTGTCTCCTCTTGAAAACGTGCTTTCCTTGTTGCTCGCTTTTCTATTTCTTGCTGACAAAGGCTCCTTCGCAACCTAATTTTTCTCTCTTTCTTTTTGATTATATATATTGATATTTCCAGTCAAAAATATTTTTTACACCGTATTATTTCCATAAATATACGAAACCCCAATTTTCCATGATGATGATGATCATCATCATGATGACAGTACACTTCCTGAAATTCGTACAGAAGAGATAGAAAACATTATTCTATTCACAAACCTAATTTTACCGCAAAGACGGTGGTTTCAAAGAAAGAGAGAGAAATCTACACACACACACATATATATATATAGTATTTTACAGAACGGCGACAAAATACACGCGCACACACAGTTTCATCAATTCCATCATCCTCTCAACAATTAGGGGGGTTTCGTTTCTTTTGGGTCTCTGGTTTCTCCATTTTTCTCTCTCTCCGTGGCTTCGTCTTTTAGGTTATGCCGTTTTACCCTCAGGTATTGTCTCTCTTCCCGTTGTATGTTGATTTTTCTTTTTGTGTTTCTGATTCTCCCCTTGTTTTTCTGTGGTTTTTTTGGGAATTTTTGAATGCGAGGATTAGATCTGAGATGGGTTTAATTGCAAACTGGAAGTTGATTAGATTTGACTAAGATCTGGCTGCTAGGTTGTTGAATTTGCTCCTTTTGGTGAGCGTTTCCGGGGGTTTCCTTCCGTTGTTTGTTTGTATTGGATTGATTTGATGTTTAGTTTTTCCTAATTGTGTTTTTGCTATTTTGGTTCAGATTTAGGTGTGGTTAACAAGTTCTCAATTGCTTGGTAGTATTAAAAGCCTGTTAGTTGATTGAGAATATATGTCCTGTTTCAGCTACTAGGAGAATTTTCTTGTGTTTGTGTATTTTTTGAGTAGTTTGTGGGTTGTTGGTGTGGTGTAGGATACCCCTTATCTGCTTTATATTTTGAGTTTTTATTTGGTTCTAATTGCTTCATCAAGCTCTGGTCCTTCTACTTATCCTGTATGATTATTAGAATAGTAAATGTTTGGATTCACCCAATTGAATGTATTATTCCCTGCCCATTTCCACACCTTTTTTTTTTGGCATTTGCGTTGCATTTTTTTCCTAACATTTTTGAAGCAGCCTTTTACATTTCCAACAATTAGATGACACACATTAAAAATAGTTTTCAGACATTATTCTGTTGTAGTTCCAGGGACAATCATCTATCTTTCAAACATTGTTGTGGGGAGTTTATGGATTCTAATGGTTCTGTAACTCTGTGATCTATTACGGCAGTCAGTGGTTGTGTTGATTTTGTTTTCCAATGTTTTACTTTTTTCCTTGTTTTACTTTAGAGGTTGTTAAAAGGACTTTTATCTGATGATTTCGGTTAGATTTATTAACTCTTTTGTTTTCATTCTACCAGGTTGTGTTTGGCTTTGTTTTCAAGAAATTAATTTCACTTAGGACATGGAGCAAGTGCACCTCTGGTCAAGTTGCGACAAATATCGCGGTTTCTCCTTCCAAGAAGTTCTTGATTGGCGGTTTTTCTTTCTTGGGGACTTTCTTCTTGTTTCTTTTGTCAATTGCACTTAGTGAACAGCTTCTCATGAGGGATCAATACAACCAGCCTGATGCTAGTTTTTTTCTGAGATAGCTGTTGTATCTTTGGTGCTTTTTCACATGTGAGCTGATTCATACTACTTAATCTAGCGTTTTTCTTATTTTGCAAATCATGGTATTGATGCGTTAAAATTTGATTTTTGGCAGTGCTTTGTCGATACAGCATCCATTTGAGATCCTTCTTGTTGCTTACGAGGTATGTACTAGACATAAATATTTTGTTTACTAGTTTGTTAAATCTCTTATATGTTTCTGACCTTGCAATCGTTGCCTTTGTTGTATTGCAGGGCTGAAAATCTAAGCAATGCAGTTATAATGGTCTAGAGTTAGATAGTCCATTGCACGAGCAATACAGTTATAATGGTCAAGAGTTAGATAGTACCTTGCACTTTCTGTGTGCAAATTATATTTCCTAGTTATGTGTAGTCTTTTGGTTTGAGGGGACCTGTAAAGGAGAGTATTTTGGTTGTGTGAAAGTTTTGCGTAAACCAAATTGCATACGTGGTAGTTTGTCACCTATACTGAAGTTTCAGTCAGTCTGCAAAGGATGAGATCTTTCGGGTAGAGTTAAACCGTGCTTATTGGTTTTGGACCGGGACAATATGATCTGCAGCGTTAGCATTCTCTCTCTCATTTCTCCATGTTGCTGGCAGAACGCTTCTGCTATGTTATTTACCATCAATAAGGCTGCGGAGGCTGTCCATCATAATCATACTGGTTTTGCCGTCTGGTGCAAAGTTGCAGAAGATTAACGTTGGACTTTTCTGGTTCAGCCACGTGTTAACTTATACCTGTTAGTTTACTTTTATTGTCAGCATAATATTAAGTCCACTTCTATAGTATTCCCTGAAATAAGTTGGGTGGAACCTGCTTTTGGATTCGGAAAAATGGAAAGGTATAAGATAATCAAGGAAGTTGGAAATGGTACTTTTGGGAGTGTGTGGCGAGCACTGAACAAGCAGACTGGCGAAGTGGTAGGTTTTGATAATAATTAGACAACATATACTTATTGTCAATTGTCGTTTTCATGTCCAGTGAATTGAAAGTTTCTTATGACCAATTTTAACTTTTGAATCTGCAGGTTGCAATTAAGAAGATGAAGAAAAAATACTACTCATGGGAAGAGTGCATAAATCTTAGAGAAGTAAAAGTGAGATTTTCTTACTGTTATCTTGTAAATCTTGTGTCTTTTTCCCCTTGCTTTCAGCTTATTTCTCTTTTTTTTGACCTTACAGTCCCTGAGGAAGATGAATCATCCTAATATTGTGAAGCTTAAAGAAGTGATCAGAGAACATGACATTCTTTACTTTGTGTTTGAGTACATGGTAAGCACAAGGTTCTCATAGCAAAGGTCAATGCCTCTGGTCTTATTCAGTGCTCATGTGCCATTTTTTCTTCAATTTTCAGGAATGTAATCTGTACCAGCTCATGAAAGACAGGCCAAAGCTTTTCTCAGAAGCTGAGTTGAAAAATTGGTGCTTTCAAGTTTTCCAAGGCCTTGCATACATGCATCAACGTGGATTTTTTCACCGCGACCTTAAGCCAGGTACTCACTCATCTGAATTATGTATGTTTGGTTGTAGTATAGGCAAACTGATATGCAATTAGTAACATTTCATTGCTGAATGCATGGCATTTTCTTGTAATCTCCGTTTGTCGACGGTAAAACCCAATGCTTTGTTGATTTGAGAACTTTTTTGTACAGAAGATTTCTTATGTTCTCTCTTTTTGCTTGCCCCAGAGAATCTGTTGGTTTCAAAGGATACCATTAAGATTGCAGATTTTGGCCTTGCACGTGAAATCAATTCCCAACCTCCATACACTGAATATGTCTCAACACGCTGGTGGGTTTTTCTCTTTTTTGTACATCCTGATCCTCATCACTTCATGTGGTATTGAAGTTTGCTTTATTCTCGTATCTGGGTTGCTTATGATGATGTCAACATGCAGGTATAGGGCTCCTGAAGTGTTGCTCCAATCACCAAACTATGGTGCTGCTGTTGGTAAGTATAATATTGTGCGCGTCTTGATAACTTGTTTCTTTCTCACGCGGTGAAAAAGATGTACTTAGTTATATCACTGATTGTGACAGATATGTGGGCAATGGGTGCAATCATGGCTGAACTGTTTACTCTCCGCCCGCTGTTTCCTGGTTCTAGGTACGGGGTATTGTCGTTATTGATTCATGATTCCTTGTGATGTAAATAGTAGTTTTCTATGGTTCTGTCATTTCAGTTATGGAACTGTTCAGTACTCCTAACAGGCCGTGCTGTGTGACTTGTGCTGCTTGGTTAAAACAGTCTCTGTTGAATAAGCATTCTACTTGGGCAGTTTGAGGGATGAATATCATCTGTGTATGACATTCAGCCATTCGCAAATGGACAATAGAGCTTTCCTTATCTCTAATATACTCATTTGTTGCTTTGTGTTATAGTTATGTATCCAGTTTAAACATTTAGTAATTTTCTGATCTACCAAGTCTTTCTCCATACACTTTGCTTCTTCCTGGATAGGTGCTCTTCCTTAAGATTGTCTGACCCCTTGAATGAAGATCACTAGTTTTATTAGTTTTTTTGGGTATTTAACCTTTTTGGTCGAGCACTTCTTTGCTGTCTTTTAGATAGTAGTACTGCTCTCTTCTTGTTTTTTTTAAGCAACTGATATGGGTTTGATTGATTCTTTGCTGTTACTATTGCAGTGAAGCCGATGAAATTTATAAAATATGCAGTGTCATAGGGACTCCAACAGAATCGAACTGGTCTGAAGGGCTTGAACTTGCTGCTGTTATCAACTACCAGTTCCCTCAAGTACGTTTATTCGATTTCTATGTTAGAGTATGTTTTCGTGGATTTGATGTTCTTTCGGTCTATGAATTATTTTTTTTTTGAATTTTGAAAATGTGCAAATGTGTGGTTCGCACATTCTGTCCTCCAGGAGATAGTTCCTCTGTTAATCATAGATTTTGTTTCTCTGTTAATCATAGATTTTTCTTCTGTTTAACCCTTTTGGTTCGTCTTTATTTGAAAACTTTCTGTGATTTAAAGCTGCAAATTTAATGTTGCAGGTAACCGGTGTTGATCTTTCTGCCTTGATACCTTCTGCTGGTGAAGATGCAATAGACCTTATCCAAGTAAGTAGTGCTAGAACTTATGTCTTTGCTTTTGCATGTTGGGGATGTTGATGAGAAAGTGTCATATGCTCCTGGTTGTTTCTATGATGTTTCTTCTTATTTTGTTATTGCCATACAATAATTGATCATTTCCTTCAACTTTCAGTCACTTTGTTCCTGGGATCCGTGTAAGAGGCCAACTGCAGCTGAGGCGCTTCAACATCCATTTTTTCAGGTGATGTTTTTTGTTCCTTTGACACAGGGAAATCATTCTTCAGTCATGGGCCGGGAAGCTCACTTTAAGTTTGTGGTTTGTGTTGCAGAGTTGCTTTTATGTCCCACCATCTTTACGCTCCAAAGCTGCTCTTTTTAAAACTCCTCCATCAGGTTTGTCTTCTTAACGGTTGCCTCCTTTCTACTTTAACTTGGAGTGGTGGTTAAGCTGTGTCTCACATTATTTTTCTGTAGCTGGAATCAAAGCTCCGCTCGAGCCAAAGACTGGAAGGAGGTATTCTGGTACACTACCAAATGTGAAGTCGGGCACGCTTCCCGCCATGAAGTCTACAAGCAACTTCTCCATCAAATCAAGTGCCCCTTCCTATGCAGGTAAATTGTTACTGTTGTCGATGGCATTGAATGATGTAAAAATGTTTAAAAGAGGTTGGCCTAGAAGGTGATGTATGCTCTGTAGCTCATTAGATGTTAATAATCAGATGTTACTTTCATTTGGGGAGTCTTTTTTCTCTGCCTTCAGAGTGGTGATTATTGCATCTTTGATTTTGTCGTAGCTTTCCCAAATAGATTATTAATGTTTGGGGCTGTTGTAAGTTTTTCAAATTTGATCTTTAAGATTATATTCTGGATGTCTGGTCATGTTTTATAACTGAAATGTTGACAAACCTTTCAGGCGTGCAAAGGAAGCTGGAGATGAATCTTCAGGTATCTTCACTCTTCCATCTGAACTTAAGTTGTTAGCTTTCAATCCCACTTAATTATTCTTGTGATGCCTGTGCTATTGTAGTTTTTCTTACACATAATTATTCTTTACCAGGATGAGCAGAAATATTTGAAGAGCACTGTGAGGCAACAACCAAAATATCGGCCACCTGTGAAGAATGTCGGAGGTGGGTTTGGTTCTTTGTAATTGCATTGCTTCTACATCTAAGCGGGAAAAATGGGATTCTTTTGAGTAAATTGGTTTTTGCTGGTCCTAGATTTTTGGGTAGCTCCGGGGAGAAACTTGTTACGCACTCTTCACTGCAGCTTTCCCTGACATGGGTCATATGCATTTTATCTCCATTAACTAAGGAGTAGTAGTTATATTCGATATATATATCATTTTCATGATTTTGATGGTGAAGTTTCTTCGTAGGATCGTTTGTCCTCTTAGGTTAGCTTTTGAAGGTGATCTGATTTTGCAATTGCCTATTTTTCAGTGTCTAACCAAATGGGAAGGACGCGTGGAGTTTCTGATGCAGCTGAGAAGTTGTCAAACATGACTATTGGACCTGGAAAATCACTTCTGAAACCGCAGCCACCACAGGCTCGGCCCCCACCTATGAAAGCTGGGGGATGGCACGGGCAATCTGATTTGTTCCTTGGACGGGCTCAAGAGATGCTCCCTGCGAGGAACATCTCGAGGAAAGTAGCAGGATGAGGGGATGTCTGTTACGTTCGTGCTTTAAATAATGTTGTTGGTGTTGTGTGCTTTGGCCAGGTTGAACCTTATGAAGGCCATTCATGTGGATTGAGATACATATGGTTTGTTTGTTGATCATTTGGTTACTTTATGACCACACAATAAAATTATGTGTTTGCTGTGAGGAGTTGTAGCAATTATCTCTTACGCTTGTGAGTTGGATTTTGACTGTTGTTTTTTTTTATATATATTATGAATGTTGGAATGAAGTTTCAAATCAAATTAGATCAATGCCTTTGTATGTAAAAAAGACGATCAACATGTTGCTGCAATGCATCTGCCCCTTCTCAAATGTGATAAACTGTTGATATTAACTGGTTGAGGATATTTGACGGCTAAGTATAAGAACAAGGGCTAATAGTTTCTGCATCTAAAAGGATTAGTTTAATCCACGGAAGAAATTATGAAGAGAAGTTACTGAGTTTAAGCCACAAGAGCCTTCTCTTCTCCAAGGGAAATCCAATTATTTAAAATTGGTGTGACCAACCCCAATTCCATTCTCTGATCTACAATAATTATTCTAAGCTTTGCAGTGTCAAATTCGTGCCCATAACAACACGCCAAACAGATGGCACTGGCAGATGTCGCAACCCATTTCCAAGAGTTTCAAGAAACCAGAAGACAAAATCTGGCTTTCATAATTGGAAAACTAATTCTGGGCAAGAACTAGGTACTGGATATGAATTGTGTATATTGACATGACGTAAATTTGGACAAACAAAAACTCAATTACCAACTTAAGATGCTGGAACTTTGTAGGAATTGAGTGTAGAGAACACCAGAAAAACCAGAATAATTTTCGTGTTATAAATAAAGAGAACTTCGGAGCATCTTCATGCTGGGAATTGTAACTTGGAGAGATATGAACACCAGGCATGCATAGCCATGCATTACAAGCTTTCTAAAACTCCATTTCTAATGCTAAATAATAATAAAAAAAAAAAAAGCCCCGAGCTACAATGAACCCTTCAGATCCGGTCAAGGAGCCAATTCATCCACCCCCATCGGGGAACTGTTGAAGAAGAGGAAATCGCGGGGAGACAAGGAGGCTCAAAAAGAATTTCAAATCAAGATATAAGTATGAGATGGCAGTGCAACTACCTACTTGAGCTGAAACAAAAATTAAAGGCTGTGAACAGCTACGGCTGGAGAGCGGCGATCCCATCAAAGGATTGATGTTCTTCCAAGTAGGAAAAGGATAAACAACATTAAGGTTAATCATCGTTGTAAGTGGATTCCCAGGTAACTGCCGGGAATTGTTTCTCCTTTCAACATATTTCCTAAGCTTTATATGTATATATATCATGTCACCTAAAGATATTGAGCTTGTATCCTATCCCTGTTAGCTTCCCACCAGAGTTTTGCATGGACTTCCCCAAACTTCTCGCGGCTGCAAAATTAGAATGACGGATCATTAACAGATGCAACTTAAACTCAAATAATGAGGAAGGTTACATGAGATTGGCAACCAGTACAAAATTTTGTCATGCTTCACAATTATGAAATGCAGCTCAGCAGAGATTACTTCGACCACAATTAGCTTCAGAGGTCATTTCCACTGGGGGTGGGTTAATTCATGGGCTTTGATCTCAATGAGTTCATCCAAACTAAATTTCTAAGTATAGGAGCCTGTGCAACAAGCCAACAACACTAAAATAAACATCAAAACTCAAGTGTCTTATGGTAACTAGGTTAGCTTTAGTTTATGAATTATTTGGAGGGTTGTCCGTCTTCAGACAGCTAAAAGGAATCATCTTCACTTTTGAACTAGAGGAAGGTTTTGTTCGGTGTTTGTTCAAATTATCAGAAACACAAACACATTATAAGCAAATAATTTAGTTACCTGAATCTCACACGCCTAAGTTCCCTGGTTCCATCAGCCAATTGTCTAATTGTTATGTATACCCCAGGCTCATCTTGTTCTATCCATTCAGACTCCATGTCACTAGCATTACTAATTGAAGCAGAAGCCTCGTCCCTGGATGAAGTAGTCGTCCTAGATGCGTCCATTTGACTGCCAGGGGGATATGCATTTGACCCAGCCATATAGTTGCCATGATCTAAATGGTCAGAAGGAAAATAACCTTTACTTCCAGAAGGTTTGTAATAGTTTCTAACTGCTGGAGTCATCATTGGACTTTCCCTAGCAGATCCAAGCCTTGAGTAAGAAGAATCCCTCTGCACAAGACAAGAGTGTGTTTTAAGAACATGAAAACCTTTTCCTTTGTTTAGGGAAAGCTGACAAGACCGCCACAAAAGAGACTGATTTTACCCCATCCTCTGATCTTGAGGGAGTGTTAAGGGCTTGCCGATTGAATCTCTGGACATTATAGAGCTCCATGATTCGATCGTAGTTCTCTCCCCACCAACATTGAGCTTGCATTTTGTTGAACATTTCACGGCTTCAAATTAAAAAAATTTTCAGCAGGATGATAAGGGAGCTGAGGACCAAATTCATTTAAAAAATGAAAAACAATGAAGGAAATGTTTGTTTAAGAATCTGAACATCTGATATCCTATGGCTCATGTACATGCATATCAAACTGGAAGGTGAAGGGCAAACTTCAAAATGCCCACTAAGATGAGTTATCTTGTACCATGACCAGCCTAGACTAGTCATTATGGGGAAAGGACTGATCATCATCTCCATAATCAAAGCAATATCTGCCACGGGGATCAAATTTGAGGGTGTTTCCAGGTTGGACATGATAAACGGGACCAAATTCCTAACATAAAGCATGAGGTCCATGTGATGGGGTTTTCATTAAATTTAGAACCATTTTACACTTGATGACCAGCTTTTATGTGATTGTGACAACCCAAGCCAAATTTGTAGTTGTTCTGAAGCATTGTTCGGCATTAATTCATATTAGGGTGACATGTTTTAGATAAAATAGATGCAAATTACCACAGTTACTAGTAGGCACGAGTTATGCTGGATTTTGATGGCACAAAGAAGCTTGTTAAGGGAAAGAGTACGCATATCGTAGTACATTACCTGAAGCGTATTCTCTTCAGATCATTCCCGCCATTAGGAAGTGACACAAAAGTGATTTGAACCCCAGGCTCCACCTGAGCCATCCACTCTTTAGGCTCGTCATCGTCTTCAAGCAACACTTCCCCAGATTGTGCAGAGATAGAGATTCGTCCAGCAGAAGGCCTGTCACCACCAAATGCCCCGCTGAATCTGGAGTCATGTCGAGCGGCAGAATGAGGAGCACCACTTCTCGTGAAGTCCCAAGCTGGAGTGGAATTCGAGCTCCCTGGCTGCATGTATGGATATGGAACTTCTTCTGAGATTGTATCATAATCTGGGTATGGAGGCCGATGTGCTTTCTTAAAACCGATTGGACTTATGGGTGGCTTCCCTTGTTTATTACCAGAAACTTTCAAAGCCATATCCTTAATCTGTACAATGTTACAACCATCAGTTAGGACAAAAATGTGCATACTATACCGTAATCAATGGTCAACAAGCATTTTGATCAAAGCACATCAATGATACTAACATGTTAATGTCAGAGACCACCTACTTAGACTGATCAAGTGGATGTGTAGGCATGAAGGTTTATGAATGTGACTTCCTGTACAACCCAACCAAAATGCATTCCTTTTTCAATGTTTAAAATTCTTGATTGTCTTATTCAACCAATTACTTAGTTCTTAGTAACAAACAATGGTGTTGTAGAGCATAAGTGTAGCCTGATCAATTAACAAGATGGTCCAAATTAGCTTCATAACAGCAATTAATAGCCTTACCACTCATATGTACTGATGACACTAAACTAAAGACTACATCTGGATGGCAGCTGTTGGACAAGCTTTCCGTTGGTGGGTCAAGCCATAGAAAATTAGACAAGTCTTTTACAAACATGCGTCTAGTCCTTTTATCAGCATTCCCACCCCTGTTTCCTTTTATCAGCATTTCCATCAGGAATTGTCTAAAAAGAACATCTCAGGAGTTTAGGAACGCTTAAATACCACATTAAAATGCACCTCTTCCCTACAAAGAAGGGAAAAGAAAAGAAAAGAAAAAACAAATCTTGATTCCCAGGCTCAAATTAAAGACAATCAAAAAAGGTTGTTGGCCCTCCTCAAAGCTACATTCTCCAAGAAAAGCAGCTCTTTAAATCAAGTGTATTGAAGAAAATTCAGTGATATTTGTGCTGGCTGGCCGCCCCTTCCCCCTATGTTATATCATATCATGATCTTTCAACTCCAAAGATATGATGATCAGGAATTGCTTTTTCTTTTTTTTATGCAGAACAAGCTGAAATGGTTACCAATCCCAATGCTGTCTTTGATTCACATTCATTCACTTCTATAATTTTAGGGTGGCTGAGTGCCAGTAATGGAGTCCTTTTGCTTGAAACTTTTTATGTAAAATCTAATTACAGCCTACCCTACAACATAGAAGCAGACCTACTAACTGCCAGTAGCATTAAAGGAAAGTAGAAACCAAAAGATTAAGCATACTACAAATAAGTAGATACTAGATAGTAGTGATGCATTTTCAGACACACAAAACCGATCTTTTTTTTACATCCATCCTCAATTTCGTCCTTTCATTGCTTACTATAAATGGAAAGATTTAAAAATGATGCATTTTTGGCTTAAAGATTACTTTTTTTTTTCCCATAACAAATTTCAAAAATTTTTGGGAACCCTTTTAAGTTAATGAGGCATTTAATTGAAACGTCCAATCAAGTGGTGGTTTTCTATGATGATTTTGGTCATTACAAAATCTTATTAAGCATATGATTAACTCGTTCAAAGCTAAAAAGGGAGAAAAAGTTAAAGAAGAAAGTTAAAGATGAAGGAAGGCACAAACACAATGGGACCAAAGATTAATTTGGACACATGATCCAAGGTGTAGCGTGCCTTTGTCTCCATTCTAAATTTTTCTCCTTTTTAATTATGCAAGTCATATTCATTGGCCTAAACAAAAACCAAGCTAGTTGTCCCCAACTTTTATTAAAGCTTTCATCTTGGACCAAAAATTACCAAAACCCAAAGCAAATACACACTACTTATTGTTCTTTCTTCTATTAGAGGAAATCTTCAAACCAAAAAACCCCAATAACCACATTCTCATTCTCCTCGCAAACCACCTTTTACAGAATCAACCGAACCAAAGTACCAAACCAAAATGCCAAAACTATTTTATGAAATAAAGAACTAAAACTAAAATGGGTTCGAATGAGATTCATTTATTTTATTTCAGAAAAGTAACCCCACAAAAAGAGAAAGTGGACCCAATGAACAGATATAATTGATGGGATGGAAAACCCGGAAAAGCATCGTACTGGATTCTAATTTTTGTCTGTTTTCACCAACGAGTGTGAAGAAGAAAAGAAAGAAAAACAGAATGGGAAAGAGAGAGAAGAAATTAGCCCAAAATAAATAATAAGAAATAGATTCATAGGCAGGGGAGGGAGAAGGTGTGTAAGATGAGAGAACCTGCGCCGTCAGGCTTTTGACGGCTTCTTTTGTACTGGGAGTCCCACGCGGGCTTTCATCTTCCCGATCTTCTGTTCTCTGCTTCGAGCACGTTATACACGTCAACATCTTCTTTCTACTATTTTACCCCAATTTATACGTTGTTTGTGTTTATCCCCTTTTGTTTTTTTTTGGCCTCTTCTTCTTTTTCTCTCTTACTCTGTTTTCCTTTTGACGAAGCCTGCAACATAAAAACAGAGTAAGAAGATGTTTGAGAAAAAAATGTCGATTTTGATGCTTGAAGCTCATTTGATTAAAAGAAAAAAAAAAACATGTTTGGTGAAAGCCCACAACTTTCCTTACTTTAAGACAAATGGGATTGTTAATTTGACTTCAAAATGACCCACCAAAAAGGCCACCACCAACACAACACAGCACAAATTATAGTACTAATAATTTTTTTGAAGATGGAGATGAGAAAAATGAGCTGAGAGATTGGGGAAATTCTAAACAAAGAAAAGATTGTTGGGAGGGATTCCCGGATTAGAGGGATTGGATGTTAAAATAGTGGGACAAAAGTGTTCTGTGATTCTGTCATATAATTGAATTGAATTGAATGTCCCAAACAAAACAGAAAAAATGGAAAGTTGTGGTCTGTAAGGTCAGCAATGCTTGTGCTTTAATATACACACTTAACCCACATTACCCAAAAAAAAATTAATGAGAAAAGAACCAAAAAGAAAGCAGTGATTTTGGGATTTTGGTTTTGCCTATATTATTCTCACATAGAATCACAGCCGAATTTTCTGACGGAAATTATTCAAAGCATCATACACCAACATCTTCATCATTACACCATCAAAAACAGCAACAAAACAGCCATAATATACCTTCCTTTCCCTTTTCATTCATTCATTCATCATCAAAAAACATCATCCCTCATTATACCCTCCCTATCACTCACTTACACATAGTCACATACTACACGCACTCACCTACTGACACATATCTAATACCCCCAGCCAACATTAAAAACTTGGCTCCCCTGTTTCTAACAAAAACTTTCAGTATGAATTCCAAATCTACATGCAAATATATAAGAATTGCAGAGGTGAAAAATGTATGATTTCGAATACCATTCGAGAACCCAAAATGTTTATTCGAAAGAAGAAGTATGGGGGAGAAAAAGCTTTATGGAAGAAAAAAAAAATTGCAATTAATGAATAATAATAATACAGAGGTGTGTCGAGTTTTGAAAGCTCTTACTCAGTGGACATAGAGACAGACAAATATGAAAAAGAAAAGAAGGTACTAATAATAATAATACCAATTTGTAAATTTATGAAAGCGACCCTCCTATGTTACTGTCATCCCCTACCTGCAGCCTACCACCACATCGATCAACAACAAAACCACACTCTCTTTTCTTAACTCTGAACCTTCTTTCTCCTTCCTTCTTTTTGAAATATGCTTCTTTTCTCCACTCTTCCAAGTTGTTCTGTCAACCAAAATAGACAGAAACAGAGAAACATTATGTACAAAAACAAAAGGGGCATTTTTAATTTTTGGATTGGGTACCCAGTAAGTGAAAAATGCATGCAAAACTCACCTATGGACGACGAACAAAGAGGATCATCAAGAGGGATTTTTTTTTTTTTTTGGTCTAGTCAAATGAGAGGTGAAATGAGGGATGGGAAGAAAGGAAGTAATTAAAAACCCATGTCAGTAATTGGAATGATGAACAGAGAGGCTAAAAGTTAGCCGCCGGTGAGACTCCGGAGAGGGATTTGTGCTTTCCTTGGGATTCTGATATTCTGAAAGCTCCAGGTCTTACGTTATGTATAAATGGATTAGAAAGAGGATACCAAAGAAGGGGATGAAGACAAAGAAAGGGAATAACTGGAGGGAGTGTTGTGGATATTTATAGAGGATTTATGTGACGCCGTCATCTGCCTCCGTTTTATCTAACGGCTGGAGGCTTTTGATTGCATAAACGAGTTGTACGTTGCGCTTCAAGGGTTGGACATTTTGACATAGTACTACGTTGTTTTTTTTAACCGTGGGGACCACCAGGAAGGGATGGTCTTGGGGTTTGAGGGCAGATGGGACCCACATTTGTCTGTGGGGGGTGATGGTTTTATGTATGGAATGGACGGAACCAAACGGAATGGGGGAGAGGTACTATGAGGAAAGGGGGTATGTTGAGGTGATCCACGTGGCTTGATGTGATTGGTTTATTAACTGTTGGTGTAATATATGATGGGTGACTGATTTTAATCCAATGTAATAATTGGGATTTGACAGGAGCTAATTATATTCTTGTGCCATTTGGGATTTGGCGTGTGTGTCCTTTTCGTGATTTAAGCAAATGATTCTGCATTAGTCCGGAACAATCATCACAATCGTGGTTTAGGGGGATGATCTCCTCTGTTATTCCCGTGAAACTTGCGTCGCTTTAGAAAAATAATCAACATAGATGAAACTGATACCTATTCGAATGTGTTATTTGTCGGTTCAAAGGAAAGAGCTCTTCAACGAAATTAACAATTCGCACTGTAATCAATACTACATTTTATTTACATTTAAATTTTAAGTAGCTTCACACGTAATTTGATGAGATAATTATCCATTTTCCTGACATTACGATGCCCCATGCGACGTGTATATTGTAAATTTATTTTTTATTTTTTATTTTTTTTGGGTAATAATAAGGAGAATATCATAACTAAGAGCTAACCACATTACGGGGTGGGTAATCCCCATTACATCATTCTTAAGCAAAGACCCTACTCTTGATGGTGGTGAATCCAACCTTACAACGCCGATTGGATTCTCCGTCGCCAGACAGGCCAAGTAATCGGCCGCAAAATTAACTTCCCTATATTCATGTCTCAAAATACATTCACATTCTGTGTCCTTAAGCTCCGTGATTGCCCTCAATAGGATTCCATGAGAACCCTCTGGCCACTTTCCATCTCAATCATCTTGACAATTGACTGATTATCCACTTCAGCTACAACCTTACGTTCCCCCAAATCCCAAGCCAAGCTCAACCCTTGGAATAATCCCCAAAGCTCCGCCATTGTTATAGAGGAATACCCAATGTTCATTAGAAAACCTCCACACCACATCCCTAGGCAATCCCTCAATAACCCCCCAGCCTTAGCCAATCATGTCGCTGGGTTGTATGAACCGTTGGAATTGATTTTCATCCTCCCAACTTCCGGTCTGGTCTAACCCACATTTCTCCATTCTCTGCACATCTGCGGGCTACCCGTCTTCCTCCTAAATTTCCTGGCTTCATCAATCTCCACAACTTTCTGTTGGATTTCAGTGACCATCTTCCAAGTCGGCGTCTGATCCGATTGGAAGAGGAACTTGTTTCTCCTTTTCCAGTGTGACCACATTGCAACCCCCGCGATCAATGGCCAATCGACATCCCCTCCGCTGCTACCCCCTTTCAGATTCCTAATAAGCCAATCCTGCAATTCCAATTCTGTGAAGAAATTGGAGCCAATTGAAGGGTTGAGCTTTGTCCAAATCTCTCTCGTCGTAGGACAATCCCTCATGACATGCATGCTGGATTCAACATCCGCCCCACACCGCTGGCATCGCATGTCCTGTGTGAGATGTCTTCTTCTTCTCTCCGCATTGGTCAACAACCAGTTCTCCGCAAAGAGCCACAAAAAAGATTTATTTTTTGTGGCTCGTTCCAGTGCCAGATCAGCTTCCACAAAGGGTTTGGGGCTCGCGTGATACCTTTTTCAATGGCAGTGCTTGCCGATCTGATTGAGAAGGTGCCATCAAGAGAGGATCCCCAAAAGATTCTATCGTCGCCTCTTGACTCCGCCGGTGGTGGAATTGCAGCTATCCTGAGGAGCGTAGATGCTGGGAGAATGTCATGAAATAAAGCCCAATTCCACTGATCATCCCCCCTACAAAATAGTCCAACGTTTTCTCTTTTTAAGCCTTCGGGATTGGGCCTGTAGCCAAAGATGCCAGCTCCTGTTGGCCCACTATCCATCTATCTTCCCAAAACTTCGCAGTTTTCCCATTATTAATAGCCCAGCGGATCTCGCCCATCAATTTGGGCCAAGAGCTCTTGATTAATCTATAGCAGGCTGATCTACCTTTCTTTTCGGATAATCAGTCCACCTCCTGGCCCTGTAGCTCATACTTTGCCTTAAAAACCCTGGTTCACAAAGAATCTTGGTTTGTTGCCAAACTCCAACCGCGTTTCATGGCAAAGGCAGTGTTCATCGTTCTCTGCTGCCTTATCCCCAACCCCCCCTGCTCTTTCTTATCACAAAGATCATCCCACCTAACTAGGCTAATTTTTCTCCTCTCCTCAGTCCCACTCCAAATAAATCTCCTGCACATTTTCTCCATTTGATCACACATGAACATCGGTAAGGGGGTGGTTTGCATAGCATAGAAGGGAATTGTCGTTAGTACCAATTGAGTTAAAGCCACTCTACCTACTAGTGATAACGACCTGGCAGCCCAGTTGCTCAATCTCTTGCTAGCTTTCTCCAGTAAAAAGCCATACGTGCTCTTTGTAATTCTTCCATTGAGAATTGGCATCCCTAAGTAATGCCCCAAGTCCTCCACTTCTTTGAACCCCATTTTGGTGGCTAGTTCCCCCATGTCCTCTTCTTTTACATTTTTGGAAAAATAGGCTTTAGATTTCTCACAGCTTATTTTCAAGCTTGAAGCAGCACAAAAGTCGACCAGTACATCCTTAACCATGGTTGCCTGATCCTCTTCTGCTTCCAAGAACGAAAACATATCATCCGCAGAAAGGAGAAATGGGATTTTAACTTCACTTCTGCCAAAGGTTATATGCCTCCACTCCCCTGATTGTACTTTATCCATGACAAAAGGATATGAGGATAACGGGTCCCCCTGTCTTATCTCTCTTGACGAACTGAACTCCTCCAACCTCTTGCCATTCCACAACACTTGCATCTTTGGGGATAACGGGTCCCCCTTGCCCCAATCTTTCTATACATATGACAAAAGGATATGGGGATAACGGGTCCCCCTGTCTTATCCCCCTTGTAGAACTGAACTTCTCTAACCTCTTGCCATTCCACAACACTTGCATCTTTGGTGTTGTCACACAAGTCATGATTTCCCTGATCAACATCTCTGGCAGCTATAACTGTTGTAGCGTATCCTGAATGAAGTTCCAGCGTAACATGTCATAAGCTTTCTCTAGGTCAATTTTGATGGCCATGTGTCCTTTCCTTCCCGTCCCTTTCCTCATAGTGTGGATAACCTCTTGGGCAATGATGATTTTATCAGTGATATGTCTCCCCAGCGCAAAGCTTGATTGGGCTGGGCTAATTAACTCTGGGAGAAAAGTTTTAACCCTATTCATCATCAACTTTGTAACTGTTTTGTAGACAACGTTACAAAGACTGATTGGTCGAAAGGATGACATGGAGTCTGGGTTGTCCACCTTCGGGATTAACACAATGTTTGTGTTGTTCAGATTCTGAGGCATGGTTCCATCTTGGATTACTCCCCAGACGGTGGCATACACTAAACGACCAACCACACTCTAATAAGAGGGAATCCGTGGCGTGGAATCCATAGCGTGGAATCCATCTGGTCCCAGAGCTTTAAGGGGGCTCATTTCCTTTATTGCTTGCCAGATTTCAACATCCGATACCTCCTTATTCATAATCTTTGATTGCTGCTCTGTAAGGGGAGAAAACAATCTCTCACACCATAAGGTAATACAGGGAGAATCACCTCTATCATACACCTCTTTGAAGAAAGATTGGCCCATCACCTTTAGTTCATGCTGACCCTCAATCAACACATCACTGCCATCCTTGAGAGCTTTCACTCGGTTCCTGCTTCTTCTCCTTTTGAGAAACCGGTGATAGAACTTAGTATTTCTATCACCATCAATACACCACTCCCGTTTGGATTTTTGTAGCCACAAAACCTCTTCCTGCATAAGGATTCCCTCCAACTCCTTTTTAATCTCCTTTTCCAAACTGTCCCACCTCCCGACCCAAATCTTTCTTTAGCTCGCTGGATTCCCGCAAGCCTTGCAAAGGCCTTTCTTTTCTTTTTATATATTTTTCCAAACACATTTTTATTTCATCTCCCTATTTCACTCGCAAATTCCTCCACTACATCTTCAAATTTCCCTTCCTTTTTTCCAGCTTTGTTCCACAAAGTCATCAAATCCTTCATATAGGGTTCAAAACGCCATAAACTTCAAAGGTTGGGCCGTCTTTCCCTCCTGGTCTCCTTCCCCAACCGTAGAAGCATCAGATTGTGATCCGATTGAAATCTCGGTAGATGAATGGTCATACTTTTCTGGAACGTTTCCAGCCAGTCCATGTTGCATACAAATCTATCTAGTCGCCTTTGTAGATTCTCTTTTTCTCAAGTAAATTTCGTCCCATCTGTTGCTACCTCCTGCATTTGATTATTAAAAATCCACTCCGCAAACTCCTTTGACGTCCTCACTTTACTAGCACTGCCCCCCAGAGATTCCGACTTAAAGAGGATATTGTTGAAGTCTCCCCCGACAATCCACGACCTTCTCATTCTTTGTGCAATTCCCTGTAATTCTTACCAAAGCTCTCTCATGATTCCCGTATTGGGGATTCTATAGACAAAATAACAAGGCTATATACGTCGCTCAGTTGTATTCTTACATGCACAAACTGAGGATGACAATCCAAAACAGTCAACTGAATGGATCATTCCACAAATCTAGATTCCGCCGGAAAATCCACGCTCCTCCACATGGAAGGATTGATCAAAACCCGACCGCCGGACAACGTTATCTGCTTCAGTGCCTCTGATTCGTGGCCCGAACATCGCAAAAACATGAGGTTTGTATTGGTTCCACAAGTCTTTAAAAGCCCCAAAGAATTGTGGTGATCCATCCTCTTGGACATTCCATGCAACTACGTTTATATTCATAAATAATTACAAGGAATATTAGTGCTTGTTTAGACAAAGTTTTGTTTTAGTTTTTGATTTGGATTTGAAAGGAGATTTAAAAGGTAGTTTAGTTTTTATTAGAAAGTATTATAGTATAGTGACCATTTATGAAATTAAAATAGTTCAGCGACCAAAATGAA